AGGGGAGTGTCTGTGCCAGTGGGGTTTAGGGGGTGGGCGGCCACTCAAAACTGGAGTAGGGTGGGGAGGGAGTCCAGGCAGAGGGGCGAGGCACCCAGGATGGGGCACTGGAGCCCGAGTGAGGTGGGGGAGCATCAGCCGGGGAGTTACAAATAGGGAGGGGAAGAAAACCAGATGAACCCTGTGGCTCTGGGCCTCCAGGGGCATTGGAGGTATTGGCGGGAACTTGTAGCTTTTCGGACCCGTAGACAGACTTAGGAAGAAGCCTCGATGTGGGCACGTAGCACTCACACGCGCGTCTTCTGGTTGTGTCGAGTGAGGGAGCTGAGGAGCAGCAGTGTTCCGACGGCTGTGTGCACCCAGGCCCACATCGTGGCTTCTGCTACCATTCTCCATCCTTGGAGAAATGGCTGACGCCAGGAAAAGCACAAGATGAGCTGGGAATGTCTTACTGAGAGGGAAGGCAAGGAGGTGCTCAGAGAATGATGGGGACACATCAAAGGACACAGGAGCCAACTGAAGGGGCTCTCAGGGTACAAATCTGGGACAATTCGAGCATCAAAATAAAGAGTGATAGTAATGGATTAGAGCCGTTGAATAAAACAGGAACCCAAGAGTCCACACTGATATAGATCAGTGCAGAAATTGAAAGTTTGAGAAGGACCAGGATATTCAGTTTCAAAGTACCTCCCCTCAAACCACTCATTGGTCACAAAGGAGAAAGAAGCAACTTCCTGGTGGAGAAGCTCGTCCAATCAAGGGGTCAAAGAGAACCTTGTCAGGAACGGGTCACATCAAAACCGTGCCGTTCGCGACAGGACTCAGCGGAAACGCGGCACCACTTCTAGAATGTTCCTGCCAAACAAACATAACTTGTCTCATCATGAGTGTAGAAGGTAGAACAGTGGCCCCCTAAGACATGCACCCCTTAATCCCAGGAACCTGGAAATATGTTTCCCTCCATGGCAAAAGAGACTTTGCAGCTATGATTAAAGTTGCAGACCTTGACATGGGGAGATTATCCTGGGTCCTCTGCACGGGCTCAATCTGATCACAGGAATCCCTAAAATTGGGAAACGTTTCCTAGCTCGGCCAGAGAGTTGCAACATGAGAGGGAGTTGGAGGAAGGGTGCCATGAGCAGGGCATGCAGCAGCCTCTGGAAGCTGGGGAGGGCCCTCAGTTTACAGCTGGCAGGAAAACAGGGGCCCTGGTCCTCCCACGCGAAGGAACCGAATTCTGCCAACTTCTGAACCAACAAGAGACAGATTCTCCCTTAGAGCTCCCAGAAAGGAGGCAGCCTGAGGCACCTCGATTTCAGGTGGACTTCTGACCTGCAGAACTGTAAGATCGTGGATTTGTATTGGTTAAGCTGCTAAGTTTGCAGAGATTTTGATCAATGGCGATGATAAACTAATATGACGAGGAGACGTCGGACAAACCCGAATTGAGGATGCAGGGTTAGTTATCCAGCACGTAGAAAGAACTCCTCAAAATTCATAAGAACAAAGACAAACAGCTAATTAGAAAAATGGTGAAAATGAATGGGCACTTCACAGAAGAAACATGAAGGCACAATAAAAATATGAGTAGATGGGGCTGGCTCTGTGGCCTATTGGTTAAGTTTGGCGTACTCCACTTCAGTGGCCTGGGTTCAGTTCCTGGGCTTGGACCTACACCACTTGTCAGAGGCCAGACTGTGGCAGTGACCCACATACAAAGTAGAAGAAGATTGGCACAGATGTTGGCTGAGGGTGAATCTTCCTCAGCAAAAAAAAAAAAAAAAAAAAAAAGTAGATGACCAGCCTTATTTGTAGTTAGGGAGAACAAATTAAAACCACAATGAGATTCCATTTTATTCTCCGGATTGGCCAGATTGATGATACCAAATGCTAGTGACCTCAGGCCAAATTGGGTCAGCCAATGCTTTTTTTTTGTTTTTTTAAAGATTTTATTTTTTCCTTTTTCTCCCCAAAGCCCCCCCGGTACATAGTTGTATATTCTTTGTCGTGGGTCCTTCTAGCTGTCGTATGTGGGATGCCGCCTCAGCGTGGCCCGACCAGCAGCGCCATGTCCGAGCCCAGGATTCGAACCAACGAAACACTGGGCCGCCTGCAGTGGAGCACGCAAACTCAACCACTCGGCCACGGGGCCAGCCCCAGCCAATGCTTTTGCAAATAAAGCTTTATCAGAACATACACATGCTCTTTTTTTGTATTGTTTTTGTATTGCCTAGGGTTGCTTTTGAGCTACAACAGTAGAATTGAATAGCGCACCAAAGACCACATGGCTTGTAAGTAGAAAGTATTTGCTATCTGATTCTTTACAGAAAAAGTTTTCCAGCCCCTGATGTAAACTAGCAAGAACTCTTATAACTACTTTGAAGAGCACTTTGGCAGTAACTAGTAAGATCAAAGGTATGCATACTTTTGGATCTGCAATTCCACTTCCAGGTATTTACCCTAGAGAAACTCTAAGTACCCTAATGTCCACCGCATCACTGTTTATAATGGCAAATAATTGGAAACAACTCAGGTGCCCTCAGCAGGAAAATGGACCCATACATTCTGGGCTATTTAAAGGACAGTATCCCATACAGCAGTGAGAGTGAATGACTCAGAGTACACGCAATACGATGGTGAATCTTGCAAACAAAGTTGAGTGAAAAAGGAAGTTGCAGAAGAATTCAGACGTATAAATCCTTAGTATAACAGTCAAAAATGCTCTACCCCAATACCTATTGAATCAGTTAGGCTGTAGCTTTGGCTTTATGAAACAGAGTCCAAAATAACGATGGTTTAAACGAGATGGTTTGTCCCTCCCTCGTGGGGCGGTCTGTAGGAGGCTGTGAGGGTCTGGGATGGCGGCTCTGCTCTGTGATGTTGTCCAGGGATCCAGGCTCCTTCCAGCTTGTCGTTCCACGTCTGCGTGGCCCGGGATGGCTTCCTACCATCACCTCTGTGTTCCAAGCAGCAGGATGAAGGAAGGGGGAGGAAGGGGCAGACGCCCTCCTTTTAAGAATCTACCTAGAAGTTGCACCTGTCATTTCTGCTCACCCCTCACGGGTCGGAATTTAGTCGTGTGGCCACCCCAGCCACAGGGAGGCTGGGAAGCATATTATTCATTCTAGGCAGCCACACGTGCAGGCAAACTTTGGAAGGTGGAATAAATGAGTATTAAGAGACAAATAGTAGTCTCCCCCTTAACTGTTCAGGGATATACTCGTATATGGTAAACCTTTAACGAAAACTAATGAATTGATAAAATCTGGACAGTGACGATCCCAGGATGGCTGTGAAGAGGGGAGGAAGGTGCAGTTGGGAGGGACCAAAGGGAGCCTCTAAGTTTTTGCTAACATTCCGTCTTAAAGCCAAATGGCAGGCTATGGGCATTTATTGTTATGTGTTAAAACGTACATTTGAGTCTCACATCCTATCTTGCATGGGTAATATTTCATAAAAATTACATAATTAATAAAAGGCAGGTTATAGAATGTACATATGATTTATATAAAAATGAATGAACGGTGCTTGTTATTTCGGCTTTGAATTTAATTAGTCTTTTCCAGGCATTTCCTCTTCTTCCTCTGGTGCCCGGGGGGCTGAGGGGTGGGACAGAGCTTACCCGGCCGCTGCACTGCCCAGAGCTGAGGAATCAGCCCCTGCGCTAAGACATGAGGCCTTTCATGTGCCTACAAACACTGTTCCTCCTGCATCCTCTCCCAGCGGCCTTTCATTCTTCCTGTGCACAGTTCTAGCCGGCTTGGAATTGCTTGCTGCTTCCCGACGGCCCTTCCCAGGCCTCCTGTCTCTATGATCCATTCAGCAGACATAGAGTGAGCATCTGCCAGGTGCTAAGAATTCACAGATGTAGCAGGGCCCTTCTTTGTTCTCTCCCCTCCCCAAAGCCCTTTCCATCCTCCATTCCCATTTGTCCCTGAAGGCCCAGCCTACAAGCCACTTCCTTCTTGAAGCTCTCCTAGATTTCTCTGGTCATATTGGTCTCTACCTCTGGTGTCCTCTCACAGTATTTCCTTTACTCCTTTAATATTAGAGCGTTAGATTCTCTCTGCCCACTGCTCCCGTGCAGTTCTGAAGGCCGCTGGCCTGGGGAGCAGATCCCACGCCCCCTCTAAGAGCTGTGTGCCCATAGCTAAGTCACCGAACCTCTCTGTGCCTCAGCATACCACTCGTAAAACGTTAAGCGCTAACTCCTTGGAACAGGTTAAGTGTTTAGCTCGACAGTTAAGGCCCCGCCCCGCGCCCAGGGCACCGAGTACAGGCTCAAAATCGGTCCTAGGGTGTAACTGCTAAAATGAACCCTCGAAACCCAGCTCTTCTCCGGAAGGCGCGGTGCGGCCCTTTCTCTCCTGAGCTCCACTCTCCTTCCGGATGGGGGTCCCGCAGAAGGGAGTCCCTGATCTTCAAGCTCCTGCAAGGCGGGGCTCAGGAGGCCAGCTCCAGGGCAGGACAAGCGCGGCGCTGGGGACAGAAACTCGGCCAAGTGGCCCAGGCCCCGCCCCTCCAGGCCCCGCTCCCGCCTTTTATTGGTTCGTGACCCGCCGAGGCCCGCCTCGCTCGGCCCCGCCTCCAAAGAGCCCCGCCCCCAGGCCCCGCCCCATCCCTCCCCTCCCCCGCCCCGCCCCGCCAGCCCTTCCAGGCCCGCCTCTCGTTGGTGCGCGCCCTGCCGAGCCCCGCCCCCTCATCGTCACTTCCGGGCAGCCGAACCAGCGGAAGGCGGAAGTGTGCGCGCCCGGGCCGCAGCGAAGCCGGGCTGAGGTTCCCGTGGCTGGCAGCTGGAGGCTCTTCCAGGTCTGGGCGCGGGGACACCGAGGCCGCCGGGAGACGTAGCCATGAGGCGGCCGCGGAGCCTGGCGGAGTCTCGAGGTTGACTGCCCCCGCCGTCTTCCCGCGACGCCGCCTCCTCCAGGCAGCCGCGCGCCCCCACCAGAGTCTCGCGCCCTACGGTCGTCCCGGCGCCTCGGACCCGGGCTCCCGGGCCCCAGACCCCGCGCTATGACCGCGGCCGCCGCCTCCAACTGGGGGCTGATCACGAACATAGTGAACAGCATAGTAGGGGTCAGTGTCCTCACCATGCCCTTCTGCTTCAAACAGGTGAGTCCCGCGGGCGGCGGCCGCCGCCCTCGCCCCCCGCTTGCCGCGCAGCCTCTGCTCCCGGGCCGGGCGGACCCGCGGGCGGAGGCGGCCCGGGCGCGCCGCGGGGGTCTGCCCGCAGGACTCGGCGCCGTCGTGGCGTCGCTGCTGTGGACTCTGGCCCGAGCGCACCGTGCCCAGCAGCGCGCGAGCCGGGCCCCGGCGCTGTCATTGCGCCTGGAGGGCAGAGATGCGGGACCCGGGGCCAGCGCGCGGGACAGACCGCGGAGGGAGCCTCGCTGCGGGGGCGTGGATGCGCCGGGCTCCTGTTGAGATGATCCACGAGCGAACCGGCCTTCGTGCTTTAGAGAAGGGGGTCACGGAGTTGTCACGCTCGTAACTTCCTTCCTGAAAGTGAACTTCTGCGCTCCGGTTGCTGCCCCCCTGCCCCTGGGGCAGGTGCTGCCGCCCGCGAGCTGGCTCCCTGGAGGGCAAGGGGACGCGGGGCAGGGCAGTGGCCGCCCGGCTGCAGAGACCACTCTTCCGTGAGGAAACCAAGTAGACAGAAAAATGAAAATGAGATGGACGTTTCGGAACTGAAAATGCGCACCAGTAGTTTAATTTTAGATGAACAGACACTTTGCATTTTTCGTATTTAATGTCTTTTGGATAAAAATAGCAAAAACACATTGTTTTTAATCTGAGGATTTTCCATCCCTCACATAGAGCCCCCCAGCCTGTGGATGAGCATGGTTTAGGGTGCCTGTGGGAGTCATTGACCCGCCTTGGCTGGTGAGCAGGTCGCCGGAGGACAGGGACTGTGCTGGCAGTTGTGGAAGGCCACGCTGGCGGCTGCTGGAGCACCCGGGGCAACATCTGTGTCTGGACATCGTGAATTCCCACCAAGCTGACCACCTGTGGGTGTTTCTGGAAGGACTACGGGTCCCAGGGTGCATTGCGGCTGGCCTGGCACAGAACTGCATCCTGGGATGTGTAGTTAGCTGATTGTGCATCCTTGAGTCCGGTGCTGCGATCCCTGATGCTCGTTTGGGAAGTGCCACCGCGGTGGGGCTGTGGTGTAGAGGCCTGTGAAATGTGCTTTCAGGCCCAGCGGATTCGGCTGTCCACAGACTGAGTGCCTTCTGTGTGGTGGGCACAACGCCCCTGCCCGAGCATTTAAACGGGTGCTGGACTGACTTGCCCAGGAAGAGCTTCGTGCTGGAGGCCCGCGTGCAAGCAGAGAACTGGAAGTGGTTCACCCTGTCCCGAGGGCCTGGCAGAGTTGGGATGGCCACTCCCACGTGGACTCAGCATCTTCTCCATGGGAAACACAGCCTGAGGCCAACGGGCAATTTGGGGATGTGTGTTTTTAGTGTCTGGCAGCCATGTTGTTTAAAAAAAGTTTCGGTTTTGGGTTTTTTGTTTGTTTGGTTTTAATAATTTTGGTAGTTAAAAAAATGTTAGCATTTTATTGAAGTATAACATGCATACAGAAAAGTGCACACAACTGAGGTGTACTCTTGGTGAGTTTTCACAAAGTGAACAAACATGTACCAGCTCCCTCATTAAGGAGCACAGCATCGCCACAGCCGTCCAGGCCCCGCCTCCCTCCCCAAGGGCCCACATCCCACCTCCAGCTCCGTAGATCCGTGTTGCCTCGTTTTTAACTTTGTGTAAATGGAGTCATACTGTACGTATGGTTTCGTGTCTGGCTGGTATTCATCGTGTGGACGTGCTACAGAGTGCTTATTCTTTACCTTTGCTGGCACACGTGCGGTTTCCCACCGTGGAGCTCTTAGGAACACATGGGCACAGGCTCTGACCACACGTTTGCGTTTCTGTTGGGTATTTATCTTTGAGGAGAATAGCTGGCTCGTATGATCTGTGCACCAGCAGATACTAGTAGGACATTTGGGTCGTTTCTTCAGTTTTGGGATTATGGATAAACCTGCTGTAAACATTGGCTTGCAGGTTTTTGCATGAACACATGTTTTCATTTCTCTTGGGTAAATACCTAGGAGTGCAATTGCTGGGTCAGATGGTGAGCGTATGTTTAACTTATAAGAAAGGCATAAATGTCATTTTTAATCTCTTCCTTTCAGAATGTGTTCACCACTTGTAGCTGTCGATCCACGTGGCTAGAAGGTGGCCCCCTGTAGGGCGCGCGGAGGTCCGGGGAGACTAGTTGGCAGCACCGTGGTGTTCACAGGACTCTCGAAGGGCCGGGAGGGGGATGGTGTTCCTGCTGCTCTTTCAGGATGAGGCACAAGTTTAAGGCCCCGGGACAAAGTGTGTGGCCACCACATCCAGGAAATTGGTCCCTTTCCATGCTAGGAATTGTCACCCTTAGACAGGGGAGTGAGGCAGAGCTGGGCCGTGTGTCTGCAAGGGGCGGGGAAGCGGGGACGACTGTCCTAAGCCACAGACGTGCTGGTCAGCGTGTGAGGAACAGACACTGAGTAGTTTATTTTGTCAACATCTCGTTTTCTTTCAACCCTCTAGTGTGGCATCGTCCTGGGGGCCCTGCTCTTGGTTTTCTGTTCTTGGATGACGCACCAGTCCTGCATGTTCTTGGTGAAATCCGCCAGCCTGAGCAAGCGGAGAACCTACGCTGGCCTGGGTGAGGATGTCGGCTCTCGGGGCGGCGGCTGGCCCTCACTAGGCCACTTCTTCAGAAGGGCAGTGTTCTAGGTCTGGGGGCTGGGGCCTTACTCCTTTATTTACTTTTCTTCCACTTTATTCTTAAAGAGTTCCTTGAACAGCAATTTTTTCCCTTATTTTAAAATGTAATGCAATTTTTAGAAAGTATTAATATAAACTTATGCTTCAAAATTGAGGAGCTACTTGGTCTCCTGTCCCCCTTTTAAGCAAATGCACGCGGAGAGTTTCCCCGTCCACATTCAGGCAGAACCAGCAGCTCCCCGCTGCTCTGGGGGCCTGCTTGCTGTCTGCCTCTCCTGAGTACCCCGAGCCTTTGGAGCTGCCAGACAGGGACCCTGCTCCACCTGCCCCACTTTGAATGCACAGCAGAGACTGTCCTGGGTCCAGGCTTAGAGCTGGGGGTCAAGCCACCTGTCTCCCCAGCAGCCTTCTCTGTTTCCTGATGCTGTTGGTTGCAATTTCATTTCCTTTTGTTCTTTCTTGCTTCCTTTGATTTGGGCCAAAGGAGAGGAAGCTGTGCTTTCTGCTTCCTCTCAGTTTGGAATATTTCCTAGGCAGCGTGGCTCTGAGGACAGGCCCCCTCACTTGCCTGCCGCCCTCAGGCCGCTATGTGAGGACTGCGTCCCCTCTGCCTGCTTTGGGACCTTTTGGCTCTCAGTGTGGGTGTTGAAATACCAACACACCTGTTCTCAGGAGCTGGTCCTGTGCGAGTCTGGGGAAAATTCCTGGCCTCCTGACGAAAGCCCACAATCCCCCAGCCAGTGTGGCCATGATGTTGGGTCTGCCCGAGGAGGGCCCGGCCTGGCTCTCAGCTCACTGCTCTCATGTTGGAGAGGAGGTGGTGAGAGGAAATGGTGTGCCGAGTTGCAGGGGCCAAACGAAATAAAAGCACCTGCAGAATCCACGCAGGGCTTCTGGCAGTGTGACCTCGGCTTTCCTTCCAGTCTGTCTGCTTTGCATTGGCACCAGCACTCTAGCATTGTTCTGACCTGAACTGAAGGGGTGCTTCCTTCTCTTTCCTTTCTGATGAGAAGGGTGCTGTCAGACTCTTAATGTTGTTGGAGTCACTTGAGGAAGCAAGATTGACCAGGTGTACTTGACCCACGGTGAGGCAACCTAACTCAGCTTGGGATGAAGTGTGCTCCGCTGAGCGGCCCCTTCCTCTGTGGGCAGACCATGGCCTTTGGGGTGACCCCTTTCTCCCCACTGAGGGTCTCTGTAGCAGACACCCCATGAAGTGCTTGGCCGTGCCCTGCAAGAGGACAGGTGACCTGAGACTGAGGAGGCCATGGGTTTTGACCGCTGTCTGATTATTCTTAGAAAGTCCCGGAGAAGGCAAACTGGTTTGGCTAGATGTGAACGACTGAAAAAAAAATTGCCCCCTGGATGGACGCCCTTCTGTGTGGCTGCCAGGGTCCTGCCTTTCACTGCTCAGGGTGCCTGCAGCCGGTTCTCGCTGCTGGAAGCAAAAGAGCTTTGAAACCGCCAGCTGTCTCCCCTTGTGTCTTTGGTACCAAACGAGATGGCTCAGTTGTGTGAGCTCCCAGAGTCCCCCGGGCCCAGTCTGCAGCCTCAGCTGCCCTTTATCCTGGCTCTGTCTTGACACTGTCTCTCAGAAATGGAGAGACCCTGCCACTTGGACAGGGGCCCTAGACGGGAAGAGATGAGAATGTCACTTGGACCCCGTGGGTCAGCAGCCTCCCCACACCTGGGCTGACTCCTGCTGCTTGCATGCGGAGACCTACCGAAAGGGCCTCTCTCCCCATCCTCTGCCTTCTCCTGGGTCAGAGGAGCCACTGTGAGCTTGTGCTGCAGCCAGAGAGGGTGACCCCAGAGGAGAGCCGCCAGTGCTTCCTGGTGCCATCGGGTGGGGACAGATGGCCTTTGTTAGCAGACCCCCAACATGCGTCATCTGCTGGATCCGTGGGCATTGGGCAGCTGTGGGGGTTGAGGAGATGGACAGACAGCTTTCGTCCAGACCTGGAGACAGTGCAGAGGAGGGTGTGGAAATTCCTGGAGTAGCAGCTGTAGCTTGAACAAATAGCCTGTTTAAACTACACTCGCTCCATGGGCTGGGTAGGTGGTTTTCTCCGAATGATGTCTGCCGCGCTGAGCCTTGAGTTTGCATTTGTGGCAGTGTCTCAGTTGGTTACCTCTGGTGGTGATCACATGCTGCCCCTTCCGCCACGGCCAATGTGTAGGCGTCTGCTGGAGAAAGAGCTTTCCCAGTTTGGGGAGCTAGAGTACTGGTGGATTTTTTGTTGGTGTTATTTGTATGTTTTCGTGGTATTTTGTTTACTGCTTGTGGGCTGTTTTTGTGAATTTTATCCACTTCTTTCCTGCTGCTCCCTCATCCTGTGTGTTCTACTGTTACGTCGGCTTTTCTAAACCCCATTTTAATTTATTTGTTTATTTTATTTTTTGTTTTGTTTTTCTATGGAAGATTAGCCTTGAGCTAACATCTACCGCCAATCCTCTTTTTGCTGAGGAAGGTTGGCCCTGGGCTATCATCTATGCCCATCTTCCTCTATTTTGTATGTGGGATACCTGCCACTGCATGGCTTGACAAGCTGTGTGTAGGTCCGAGCCCAGGATCCAAACTGGCGAACCCTGGGCTGCCGAAACGGAGCGTGCAAACTTAACTACTATGCCATTAGGCTGGCCCCTAAACCTCATTTTTAGGAGATATACAGATATGCCAGCTAGTCAGCCTCCTTTAGTGGTCTCAGCCCCTACAAGGCTACTCTGAGCCCCAGACCCTGCCCTATCCAGAGTATGGCTCTGAGTTCTCAGGTGTGAGCAGTGGATGCTTCCAGTGCTATGTCTGTGATCTCGTCATCTGACCTCCCGGGTTTCTGTGGCCCTGGTCAGCCTGCCGCCCACTCCTGGGCCAGGGATGGGGCCTGCAGAGGGCCTGTCCAGCCAGTTTTCTCCTTGCCTGTGTCGGATGTGTGACCTGTACACGTGGATACTTGGCTTTCTGACACCCCTCGTTTATCCACCTCTGGGGATGGCTGGGCTGAGCTCGTACCCCGTCTTGATCCGCACGGTTTGGTGTGTGCACCCCCATCTCTGCCCTGCTGCTGCTGGGAGTTGGCAGCCGGCAGCTTTGGGTGGCGGGTGGGAGTGGGCGCGGGTCCTGCACTGAGTGCGGTGGGCTGAGAGTCGGCTCTGCGTCCGCGCAGCCACAGAGCCGTGGGCAAGACTGTGGTCCCGGGAGGAGAAGGTGACCCAGCGTTTCAGGGCCCAGGGCAGCTGCTGCCCAGCCTCCCCAGGGAAAGACTGGAGAGCCCCTCCTGACGCCAGTCCCAGCCCCGCACGTGGCGAGAGTGCTGCTTAGACCAGTGTTGGGGTCATGCTTGCTCCTCGTCCCTGTGATGCCCAGCCTGTTAGCTGCAGAATGCCAGTCACAGATGGAGGAGGAAGACCTGAGCTAGGGGTCTCCGGTCTGCACCGAGGTGTGCTTGCTCAGAAACCCTTCTTGCAGACGCCTCCTAGCCTCATGGCACTAGTCTGGTGCTGTGGTCCCACCTAGAGGGGCAGGAGGGCAGCCACTCCACCCTCCTGGTGCTGTGCCAGGCGGGAGGCTAAGGGGAGGGGGCTGCCGGGCATTTGTATTTGAGACTCGGGGTGGAGGTTGTTAAGGGATCCACACTTGAAATGATGGGGGGGAGGGGCGTGGGTGGGGTGAGGGTGGCCCAGGTGAAGAAAGCGGGGAGAACCGGGATGCTGGGACACCAGGCCTCAGCGCAGGAAGCACCTTGGGGCAGCCGCTTTAGGATGTTGTCCTGGGAACCAGTTGAGTCTTTCTGAGTGAAGAGTGCCACCTCCTGACTGGGTCCTCTGACTCCCTGGAGCACCTTCCGCTTCTTTCTGTCCAGGATGCAGGTGTGTTTGGGATGGCAGGGTGCTCTGAGCGTTTGAGATGTGCTGTAGACGCTCAACTTACTTTTGGAGAAGAAAAAGGAATGGGATGGCCAGACGCGCAGCCACCTCCACATTTGGGGCACTGGGTTTTGTGTTGTGTCCAGGGGCATGCTGCCCGACTGCTGTCATCCAGAGGGTTGGAGGGCCTCTTTTTGGTGACAGCATGGCCTTGGGCTGCTGTCTGCTGTCTGGAGCTCTTAGTTTTGAAATTCTCAGCCTGACCTTGATTGGCGTTCCATTCAAGGATCTGTCTCGGTTCAGATTGCTCTGTGATGCAAACGGGCCTTATTAGATGAACCTGAGACATGAGTCTCTGTCCAGCAGTCAGACCAGCCAGGGAAGGCCGGAGTGACCCCGGCGGCGGAAGCCTTTGTGCTTCACGGGCCGTCTGCCCATTCATAGCTGGTGTAGCCCAAGCAGATGCCAGGCTCTCTTGGTTTTGGCAACGCCGTGCCTTTTCCTAAGAAATATGAAAGTGACAATGAGTGTTTTTTGGACTCATTCACACCAACTGCCTGCGGGTGTCCTGCTTTCCGAATCTCCTCGGAGGACGCTGGCCCCGTGTGAGGGAGGAACAAGGGGCAGGAAGCTGGGGCCGACCTGTCACGCACACCTGTCCTGGGAGACCAGAACTTCCCTCTGCCCTCGTCCCGCTGGATCGTGGTGGGGGCCACAGGGGTTACCGGACTCCTGTTAGGTCTGGGAGGGGCCTTGCTGAGTCAGCTCTTACTCTCTCATCTGCTGGAAGCAGTTCTGTTGTCAGGAAGGTGGGACAGGCAGCTGCTCTCTGCTCCAGTTAGTGCAGCCTCATGCTGTTCACCAGTGTGGTTCCCTGACTGTCTACCTTGAAAGGAGGCAGGCCCCAGAGCACTTGTCCCCTCCTGTCCCAAAGTGCTACACTTGAAAGCATTCTCTGAATTTTCTTCTGAAATCACAAAGAGTGAACCCTCAGTCACATCCTTTTGGTGCGGGCTCTGAAAACTGGGCGTGCTGGGCTGGGGCCACCCGAGCCCTCCTGGGCGCCTCCCTGCTCGGCCCCGCCGGGTGCCCGCACAGGTGCAGCCTCTGCTCCCGCCGCCTCCACCGCCGCATGTGGGCAAACTGCTACATCCCAGGGACGGTTCTTTTTTTTGAGTGAAAAAACCAACTTGCTTGTGTCTTTCCATTACTTTGTTCTTGTTTTCTGTGGTTTCCATTTGTTGATGGTAGATCTGAAAAAAGCATAAGACCAAAATAAAAAAAATCCCCCGCCTGCCCATGAAACTCCAGACCAGCGGGTTTTTACCAGATTGCCCTTCACACCTCACACCAGTAACGTTCCCTGATGTCTTCTCACGCTGTTGGGTTGAGCACTAATTCTTCTTTCTTTTGCACTAGCATTGCACGCCTACGGAAAAGCAGGGAAGATGCTGGTGGAGACCAGGTAGATGCTGCAACTTTGCTTGATATTATTCTCTGTTCTTCACCTGCAGCTAAAGAGAAACTGGAGGATTGCCACAAAATGAACGATATGTTTCAGATGTTGGTTGGTTTATAACTTATAATATTTTCCTGAAGAGTTACTTACTAAGTAGTTGAAAGTTCAATTTATTGTACCCTTAAAATGATTAGTGACAAAGTTGAAAGCCTTATTTAAGTCTTACTAAGAAAAATATAAAAATGGAAAACTCGAGGAACACAGCAAAATAGCACTCCCTCTGATGTAGTTAATCTCTCAGTACTGTTCCCGAAACTTGTATGCGCTCCCCCCCGACACTGTTGCATAAAGGTGACATTAAATTGGAATGTCATATTTTTCTCCCTTTGGAGTAAAATTTTATGAGATGAAAAGATTGCTGGGAAATTGTACTTTTAAGCTTCTAAATTAGGGAATTGTAAACACAAAAGAGCAACCCTTTTTGAAAGCAGTTTATTGTTCTTTTAACATGTCTAACATCACGGTGCATTTTAGTAGCACCTGAAAGAACTTTGAGAATCTCCTGTGGAGAGAAGAATATAGTACCACATAAAGAAAAGTTTAGTGTTATTCAGTGTTCATTCCAAGTAATGTAGCAAACTCGACAAAACATACCCGAGTCCGGTGAACTGGTGAATGTTCGAGATCACAGCCAGCCTTTGGGTCGTCGTCACGTTTCAGCAGTGATACCGCGGGGTTGGGGCTCGGTGTCCAGGGCTCCCTCCTGGGACCATGGGCAAGCCCTGAGCCGGTACTTGGCTAAAGGGGCCAGGCTTTGATCGTCAGACAACGGACTCCTGTTACAAGGCCGTTTCAAAGCCAGGGCTTTCTTCTCTGTAGCATGATCGGGCTGATGCTGGGAACCTGCGCTGCCTTCTACGTTGTGATTGGTGACTTGGGGTCCAACTTCTTTGCTCGGCTGTTTGGGTTTCAGGTAAGGACATTTTTAAGCATCTGGTCTATTGGAGCTATATGGTAGCTCGGTGTGACCTTTCTGTAAGTCCACCTCTCAGATCAGCGTTGTCGTTATGGGAAGCTTCCTTATGCCCTGGGGTGCATTCCAGGCCTGTGGGCTGGAGGCATGGGGTTTACTGGGGTGACACCTGCCCAGCGTGTGCTTGGTTCCCTCCAGGTGACCGGCACCTTCCGTGTGCTCCTGCTCTTTGTGGTGTCCTTGTGCATCGTGCTTCCACTCAGCCTGCAGAGGAACATGATGGCCTCCATCCAGTCCTTCAGCGCCATGGCCCTCATCTTCTACACTGTTTTCATGTTTGTGGTGAGTGTCGGCCACTTGCAGGTCTGGTCTGGCTGCCAACTGCTTCCTGAGCATGACAGGAGAGTGGCTAAAAGCCTGGGAAATGATGTTAGCATTATCCATGTGAGCCCCAGTGGACAGATGGGGCCGCCTGGACCCAAGTGCAGTCGACAGCAGGAGAGAGGTGGGCTCCAGGGCAGAGGGCCCATGACCAGTTCTCTGGGAAATGAAAGTGTGGACACGCCTCATTCTACAGAAAGACTTTCTATGTAGGATTTGTGACCAGGAGTCACGATGTCAGCATTTTGTCACAAGGGGGCAAGTTGTTTTCTAAATGAGCATTTATAACTGACCAGACAGGAGCATCCAGTGTGGAGTTGATGCTCAGGATGTTCATTTCTTGCTGAGTGCTTGGGGGCCTCCCAGTGGGAGCCCCCCGGGATCTGAACCACCGGACCTGCCCCCTCCACTGGGAAGGTCAGCAATGATCATTCCTGAGGGCAAGGAACCTGGCAATCTTTGCAGTAGGTTTTCCTTAGCAGACTGAGCACTGGGTGGCATACCAGCATCCCTCAGCTGTGTGAGAGCCAGCCTGGTGATGGTTACCCCTGCATTCCATACAGCCCCATCCTCAGTGGGTTTGTCTTTTAAAACATGTCTGAGTGGGGCCGGGGAAGGACCTGCCCAGTTGGGGGTGACTGTCCTGTCACCTGAGGCAACTGGGGTAGGCACAGCGGCGGGCCTTGCTGCTTCCTGTCTGCACTAAGCAGCCCCTGCCTGGGCAGCTGCCCCCGAGGGCCCAGGAGGCCTCTCAGCCAGTGCTTCTCCCGGCAGCACCCAGCCAGCTCGTGGCACAGCAGGGGCAGTGAGCCCAGGAAGGTGCAGGACCCTCGGCCCCTCCAGCTGGCGACACCTGGCTGCGCTGAGGGGGAGCCCACAGCCGAGATGTGGAGTGCACAAGCCGCACGCCCTCCACCTGCCTCTTACCTTGCCTGGGGCCAGGGGCCGGGCGGGCTCCAGAGCCCGGGCTCTCTTTGCTGACTGGCCCTCGAGCCCTCTGTCCTCTCTCATGCAGATTCTGCTCTCCTCTCTCAAGCACGGCCTCTTCGGGGGGCAGTGGCTGCAGCGGGTCAGCTACGTGCGCTGGGATGGCATCTTCCGCTGCATCCCCATCTTCGGCATGTCCTTTGCCTGCCAGTCGTAAGTACTGCTGCTGGCGAGGGCCCTGAGGGCGCGTGTTGCCCGTGGTGGGGGTGCAATGCAGGGAGACAGGGCCCCTTGCTTCGTTTAATTGGACAGTGCAGGCCACTGAAGAGCGATGTCTCGTTCCCTTGTGACCTTTCCCCTCCCAGCTGAGGGAGATGGTTATGTTTTCATCGAGAGTAATTGATGTATTCCTGAGATGTGCTGCTGGCACTGCTGGCAAGAGCACCCAGTTTGCCAAATCCCCTGTGAGAAGGGTTGGCTGTGGGAATGCGGAACAGCCCAAAACCATCTGACTCACAGAGTCCTGAGCGCTTTGCCAGCATTCAGCTACTCGTGTGAGAACATTTAAAGGAAATTGCACAAACATTGACTTGAGACTGCCACTGGGACGCTTTCAGAGGCCTCTGTGTGTGCGTGTGCACATGTGTGTGTGTGAGTGTGCCTTCTCTCTGGCGCTCAGAACCCTGTAAATGCAGATCAGGCTACTTCCAAAATTCCAGCAGCATTACCGTCGCCACCAAAATGACAAGAGCCAGCGATTCATGCCCGGTGGGAATGGTAGCCCGCTCAAAAGAGAGGCGTCAATCCAGCACAGACAGGAAAAGACCATCGGTGTGCAGGGGGCTGGCAGAGCAGGCCCCCATAGCTCTAGTGGGCATGGATGGTGCCAGTTGTAAACTAATGTGACAGATAGATTTGTTCGTCTGCTGTGTTTACACCCACACGCGAGATCCAGATCCTCATTTCCCTCTTACCATCTCTCTTGGCAGCTCGGTTTCCACCAGAACATGCTCCACTCTTGCTATTTTGTGTCCCCATTATAATCGCTGATGGAAGTTCTATTCTTTCACCTCGTACCTCGTTACCTATTGCCCTTTTTGTCTGTGAGTTGCTTTTTTTTTTTTTTTCCTGAGGAAGATTAGCCCTGAGCTAACTTCTGTGCCAGTCTTCCCCCACTTTATGTGTGGGTTGCCGCCACTGTATGGCCTGTCAGTGGTGTAGGTCTCTGCCCGGGATCTGAGCCTGTGAACCCAGGCCACTGAAGTGGAGTGTGCCAAACTTAACCAGTATGCCACAGGGCTGGCCCCTGTGAGTTGCTTTTTTAAAAATAGATCCGTGATTGAGCTTTTTTGGTGGTGGCCACGTAGAAGCCAGTGCACATCTGATGGGTTTGGTTCTTAGGTCAAATTATAGGTTCCAGAAGCGTTGTGAGCATACGCCTCGTTCTGCTGCTCACAGCAGTGCACTGGGCCTACAGCTAGGCCCATGTTCCCCTCAGGGAGCAGCTGGTGAGGGGTCGACAGAGTTGTGCGGCCTGTTGGCTGACCTCCCCGTCCCAGGGCAGAGACGAAGCTCTTCCCTCCCACGGCACATGCATCAGAGCGCATGCAGGTGGGAGCTCCTGCCCGCCCTCCCCAGAGCCCGCCAGGCCCCACCTGTATCACTCTCCATGTTGCAGGGATGGGCCAGGCCTCTGCTTTGCTCTCTCTGTCTGGCTCTCTGGTCTTACTTCATAGTAAATGAGTATTTGGTGCGGAACCACTAAGCCCTGTGGCCTCAAGGAGTGGCCGAGAGAATGCTGAGCACGGAGGGGCCTGGGTCTGTGCAGTGGGGCAGGCAGAGAGCAAGCCCGGGGCTGCATAGAGAAAGCTCCCCTGACTCAGGTAAACTGAGTCGTAGGTGGTCCGCGAATGCTCTCTGGGGTGCTGAAGTGGCCGCCGTGGGGGTCTGTGGCTCCTGCCATCAGGGGTCCCTTGGGTGTGGATTGGAGGGGGCCGGCGCCTTGGCCTTTGCACACTTGCCCATGCCCACGTGCTGGGCACAGCCCCCTCCCCAGGGTACCTGAAGCTCCCGGGGCGGGGACTCTTCCCGCAGTGCACTAGGAGTTGGTGGGGAGGCCCCTCCCCTGGGATCCGATGCTGCTTCCCCATCTGGGGCTCCCTGGTGTGGACCCCACTCCCGCCTGGCGAACTGATTGGCACCCAGACGTTTGTGCTGTTCCCCCGCAGGTCCTCTGCCACCTCCCTGGGCTACATGGGCGTGTGGCCATCTGGTGCCCTCCATTCAGGCCGAGGGGAGGGCAGCTGTCCATGGGCAACCCCTGCCCACTGAGGGTGGGGCAGAGATGGGTGTGGAGCGTCTTCTTGGTGTCAGCTCTGATCGCCCACGCTGAGGCACTGAGGAGGGCGGGCGGCCGGCGGCTTCTGTTTGTTTAACTTTCCATTCTTTTGACAGCGATGCTCTGAACCGCTTCCTGCTTCCCCTGTAAACATGGGCTGCTTCAGCTGGGCCCAGCGCTCCCTGGAGCGGTCACGCTCCTGCTTCAGCAGAACAAACGGCCTTTCATTCTGTGGCACTTCTGAAATGTTTACAGAGCGCGTGTTCGGGGGGGCTCTGAGTGCATACCGCTGCGCCCGGCCGTCTGTAGGATTGCGAAATCTTGGCCTCGGTGCCCAGTTACCGCGGTGGCCAGTGTGGCGGCAAGGAAGGTGTCAGAGACTGTTGGCTGGGGACTTGGGAACTAACACAGCCAGAGGAGGGTGTCTCTCTGGAATCTGCTTTGTGAACTCAATTGTTTTTATACAGCCAGGTTCTACCCACCTACGACAGCCTGGACGAGCCCTCGGTGAAAACCATGAGCTCCATATTTGCCTCCTCCCTCAATGTGGTCACCACCTTCTACGTCATGGTAGGACCCTTTCATACCCTCCCCTCCTCCCCCATGTCACAGGCAGCAGTGCCCAATGGGACACTGCCTCCCTCCAGCTCCTTAGAGTGTGCCAGGAATGGACGCAGCCCTCCACCCCGTGTAAGCCTGCCCTTGGCTTCTTTCTCATCTCAGTACCCACAGGGCAGCTCACTTCTCAAGGCAGCTCCAGGCCAGCCCAGGAGCCGCTTCCACCCTGGGCAGCTCCCATCCCAGGAGGAGCCCAGGTGCCTTGGCGCATGGCTGCCCCCAGGTCGTGCTCACTGGAGCCTCTTCTTCCTGCCTCTCCAAGGCCTTTGCTAATTTGTTATAGAAAGGGGGCGTGTCCCTTAAGGGGAGATGGAAAGTGTGATAGCAGAGGAGGAAGATCAGCTTAAGTCCCAGCCCACAGGTGCAGTTACAGCTCACGTCTTGGTAGGTTTTTCTTCCAGTCTTCTTAATGCTCCTGTTTGTTTGTTTTTTTACATTGCAAATAAAATTAGAACTACGCTAAGATTATAGTTGTTTCTCTGAACTTTGTGGTTTCAGCATTCTTGTTGGTTTTTACAAATGGTCCATGCACATTGTTGTCGACACTGCATCTCAGTACATGGGGGACCACAGTTTACCCCCCAGTTCCCTGGTTTGGATCTGGAAACCAGAGCAAGATCGGCCCCTCTGTGTGTGGGTTTGTGGGGCATTCTGACTCCTCCCTTTTCATGCAGGGGGCTCCATTTTCTTGGTGTCCTGTTGTCCTCATGAAAAGCCGTATCAGACCGTTGCCCCTAGACATTTAGCCTTCTGGTTATGAAGGAGGAGATTTTAGGAGAGAGGAGCCTGGCGGGGGCTTGGTCTTGCCGCAGCTGCTTGGGCAGCGGCTCGCAGGCCGTGTGAGGGCAGGGCGCCTACCACGCTCGCCCTCTGCTCTCGTCTCCCACAGGTGGGCTTCTTCGGCTACGTGAGCTTCGCCGAGGCCACCGCGGGCAACGTGCTGATGCACTTCCCCTCCAACCTGGTAACCGAGATGATCCGAGTGGGCTTCATGATGTCGGTGGCAGTGGGCTTCCCCATGATGATCCTGCCCTGCAGACAGGCCTTGAACACGCTGCTTTTTGAGCAGCAGGTAAGGTTCTGGAGGCCCTTCAGACGCCGTTTTGCTGTGATCCCAGTTACGTTCTTTCCTCTCGGCCTTTGCCAGTTCTTTATTTTCGTGAGCTGTGATAGGCGAAGCTTTTCCTAGTTAAAAATAAAAAACCTTCAGTTAAAACGAAATCTTTTAATAGGGATTCTTTTTTTAAACCGACTTTAGAGAGAAGAGACAATGCCAGACAGACCAGGATCGATTCACACGGGAAACATGGAGTCAGGCCAGTGTCTAGGCAGGTTAGGCCTGTCTGCCATGACTTCCCAGCTACGCTGCTGGTTCCCCGAACCAGAGAAGTAGCTGGAAACCGGGGGCTTTCTTCAGAGCAGTCCTGTGCGGGGAGGGGTGGGTGGGACGTGGAGGAGCAAGGTCAGCAGACGGGCGCCGGGGTCAGTGCGCTCTTTTGTTTACCTTTGTGTACCTGAAAATTTTAACGCTTTGACAAAAGACATCTGAGCCGTAAGACACTGAGTTTCGCTTGCCATCGTGTGTGCAGGCACAGCTCTGTATAGTCCTTTATGAGAACTTTTCAAACGTACGGACGGGAACCAGAATTTCCCTGGCTCTCTAACTGTTGCCGAGTTGACGATAGAAGGCATGTGTAGAATAGCTCATGCCCAAGGATGCCTGTCCGGGAGCCCACGGACCCACGGCTTTTCTCTGTGGCAGTGTCCCGGCCTGAGGTCCTTGAGCCTGGTCTGTGTTGTCAGTCAGGACTCCTGGTGGCTGCACAAGTTCTGCTTGAACTGCTTGGCCACAGAGCGGGGGAGGGGTTGCGGTCCCAGAGACTCCAGGGGAGAGCCAAGAGCCAGACAGGAGGGCGGGCCACCTGGGCCTCCAGAGCAGCTGGAACAGGGCTCACTGTCCACGTGGCCAGCATGTGGTGGAGGTGGCTTCCTGAGGATTCTGCCACCAGAGACAGCACCTGATGGCAGAGGCTGAGCTCTGAAGGACTAGCTTCCCTCCCCACTCCAGTTTGCCCCTTCACCCCCAGCAGCTGTTCAGGCACCTGGGTGCCAAGCGAGGCAGGATTTAGCACTTGGGGGGCAGTGGTGGGCCCAGCTCCTGCAGCTGTGGCATCCTCCCTGCTGGCCTGGCCCCACCTCAGCCCCCAGCGGTTAAGCCTTACTGACTTCAGTCTTTCACTGTTTGATGCAGATATGCACTTTATACCTGAACAGCATTTGTGTTTCTGTATATAACACATTTTTATAGTTTTTTAAATTAAAAAATCAGTAGTGGCATTATAGGGAATGTTAAGAAAGGAAATTCACCTGCGTCCCTTCCTCCTCACGTGGACGGCTTGGCATTCGTGCGGTCTCTTTCCCGGGGCATGGCAGGAGTCCTTCTCTGTTTTCTCCCGGTTTCAGTTGGCGTTGCCATGGAAACCCACAGCGTCCCCACGCCCTTGCTCTTTCACCTCTCGTTGATGCTCTGGTTGTTGGGGTCTTTCACCCTTGACCACTCAGGGGCAGCTCTCTCACGACCTCCTTCATGCATGTAGCTTCCCCCCTTCTCCTCTCCGCTGGGAGGAGTTCTTAGGTAAATTTCTAGTGCAGGCGTTCCGGGGTCGAAAGGTATAGACCTCGCACCCTTGCTAGACTATATACAAGTGATCATTCTGAGGTCGACCAGAAATTCTGGCTGTAGCTCCCTGTCTGTCCTAAGGAAGCCGTCTGTGTAAAAGTCTATTCTGGAAATTGGGTCCTTTGAAATTCTAGTTCTGGAAGGTTCTGAAGCCTCACTTAAGTGGTATTTTCCTAGCCCAGGAGTCGTAATCACGGGCAGCCCCTCCTGTGTGCCTGGCCTTGTTCTAGAAGATTCATTCTTATCATCTCATTTGGTCCTCACCAAGCCTGATGAGGAGAAGCTTCTAGTATCCTCATGTTTACAGATGAGGAAACTGAGGCACGGAGGTGAAGTAACTTTGGCTTTGATGACACCACATCGTAGCCTTCTCCTCTTCTCCTTGGACTGCATGTCTCACACCTGTTGAAGATGAGGATGGTGCAGCCGAGCTCATGCGTGTGCAAGAGTGTGTGTGGGCGGGTCCTGCTACACTCTGAAACCCGCAGGGATGTCACTGTGGAGCTATGCATGTGCAAGAGTGTGTGTGTGGGGGGGGGTCCTGCTACACTCTGAAACCCGCAGGGATGTCACTATGGAGCTGGGTCTGTGTTCTGTTTTCTGTACTACATGCACTTTTCAAGTCTCTCATGGCCTTGCTCTAAAAGGAAAACGGAAGGACTTGATACTAACTTTCCTAAACGAGATGATAAAATTGACATCCCATACCTGAGCGAGGAGCAGCCTATGCCTTCCTGGACTCTGGCGGGTTCGGGTTGCGGGTTCACATTAAAGTTGCTCAGCCAAATCTGATTGCCCTGGGAGCGCTCCCCTCCCGGCCTTGCAGCCACACCTTCCTGGGCTGTTGGAAGAGCCCTTTAAGGGCCTGCTTCCAATAGAGTAGTAGAAGAAGTCAGTCATTTCAAAACGATTTTTTTTTTTCTCACGTAGCAAAAAGACGGGACCTTTGCCGCTGGCGGCTACATGCCCCCTCTGCGGTTTAAAGCGCTCACTCTCTCGATTGTGTTTGGAACCATGGTTGGTGGAATCCTGATCCCAAATGGTAAGTGGGAGGGCTGCTCCGGAGCCTGGTTTCCTGCTGGCTCTTCCGCTCTGTGTTCCTCTCCATCCTGGCTGTTACACGTGGGGCCCCAGGGGCATCTGCCTCGAGTCTTGCTGTTCAACAAGGTCACCCGGAATCTTCCTGCCATCCCCTCTGGTCTCCTGAGAAAGTCTAGAGACTCTCAGGTGATTTTTTCTTTGGCGCCCTGAGAATGGCATAGGACAAAACGTAACAGCTCAAGAGAACCACAAACATGCGTGAAACCTCAGCAGTTGACGCCTGGTCAGAGACTCCAGTGTAGGGACGCAGGCCGACTTGTGACATTAGAGTTCGTAAAGCAACTCCTTCCTTGCTGTCGACCCCTGACTTTGCTGAGTGTCATCCAGGGAAAAAGTGAAGGCCCTGAGCAAGACTTGTCCTACTGCCAGCAGACAGACAGAGCTCATTGTCATCAGATATTGAGTGGAACCTGCGTGTGCCCTCCCCAGGTGACAACCCAGAGGCCCCACCTTTCAGGCTCCTGGCTGCCACGTCTGTCCTAGCACAGGTCCTGCCAGTCGCTCGCAGAGCAGCGGGTGGGGTGATTTAAGACAAGCCATCCAGGGCCTGGCCCCCTGGCTGAGTGGTTAAAGTTCCGCACACTCCACTTGGGTGACCCAGGTTCGCAAGTTCAGTTCCCGGGCACGGACCTACTCCACTCATCATCCGTGCTTTGGAGGCGTCCCACATACAAAATACAGGAAGATTGGCAACAGATGTTAGCTCAGGGCAAATCTTTCTCACCAAAAAAAAAAAAAGCCATCTGAAAAGCCCCTGCTGGGCACCCAGATGCCCAGAGGCCGTATGAAGAATCAGAGCAGGGTTGAGCTCTCTTTGTGCTGGGCTCCACAGGAAGAGGCTGGCTCCTACTGCCTCACTTAGGCTCACACAACCAAGGGCAGGAGCAGTTAGCCCCGTTTCACTGGCAAGGAAACTGAGGCACAGAGAGGAGGGAACTTGCCCGAGACTCCATAGTGGGAAAGGAGCAGCCCCAGGTTCCCAGACCCCACACTGTGCTCTGTCCATGGTGACAGATGGGATGCCCCTAAGTGTCCTTGTGGGCACAGAAGGGTGTGCCTCTGCTCCTTGCTAGTGTCCCAGAGGTGGGCCCAGAGAAGCCTTGGTGGCAAGGCTGGTTCACCTGCTGGCGCTCAGCCCTTCCTGTTGCTTCTTGTCCCCAGTGGAGACGATCCTGGGCCTCACGGGCGCGACGATGGGAAGCCTCATCTGCTTCATCTGCCCGGCTCTGATCTATAAGAAAATCCACAAGAACGCCCTTTCCTCCCAGGTGAGTGCTGCTCACAGCCTCTCTGCCCCGCCCGCCCGGGACTGATCTGGGGTGGGGAGAAGAGGAGGCGGGTTCTCAGTCGCGTTCCGTGAACCAGTTAGGAGTTTCTTAGGACAAAGGTACTTGGTCCCGTGAGTCTGGGAAACATGGGGTAAGCCAAGGTCAGCAGTCTTTGCACCACAGGGCCACCTGGAGCCACCACCACTTTTGTAGGGTGGTTCCCAGGGGGCTTGGTGTGTGTGTCGCAGCAACTTCTCTGAACAGCTTTTCTCTGTATGTGTGTCTGTGTGGTGACTGGATTGTCCGTTTGTGGGCTCACACCTCTCGCTGCTTCCCATCACCATTCCCGCTTGAGGCCACCCCTGTTACCTCACGAGGGGCTGTCTCTGGTGGAGTTGCCTCTCCAGTCTCTTGCTGTTACAGACAGAACAACGACGAACATCTGTGCACACGAGCGTTCCAATATCTTTGAGAAAGTATCCTAGGAAGCTTTTAAAAACTTCAAAACAAAGGGTGTGAGCATGCGTAACTGCGTGGCTTTCGCCAGGTGGCTGTGTCAAGATCAGCCGCTGTCGCTCCACAGCTTAGCACCAGCCTCTTTCCCTTCATCAGACGAAGGGGGCCGTCTCGGCTTCCCAGGAGCGACAGTGAGCGTCTCTTCAGGTGTGTAGAAGCCCCTGCATTTCTTTTCCTGGGAAGTCTCCATTCCCCGTGCTCAGCTTTTATGGACTTGTTGAGCTTTTGCTTATTGATATATTTTGGTAAATTTCTCAGCAGTATGGTATACATTCAGCAAATATACACATAATTCTCCTGTACAGCTTGGTAGGTGTTTGCTAAGTGAACCCAGCCTCGGAACCACCGTCCAGGGCAGATATAGAACATTCCAGCACCCAAAGCTTCTCTGGGGCACATTGCAGGCTTTCCTCCCCAAAGATTGCTGCTCGTCCGCCTTCTGACATTTTGGGATAATTTTGCCTGTCCTTTGAGTGGGCATGAAGGGAGTCTTATGTATTGGCATGTTTCTGGCCTCCTTACCCCATAACCACACCTGTTACTGTGGGGCAGGTGGTCTGTGCCTTCTCCTTGCTGTGTGATCTTCCATTGCACGGGTCTACCACAGTTCACGCAGAGCAGGCAGCGTCCTGCGTGGGCTGCTCCCCACACCTCTCTGCGCATGTGTGTGCTTGGTCAATTATTCACTGAGGTGGGCATTGCTGGATTCCAGCTTATGTCCATCCAGCTTTGTAGATTTTGCCAAACTTTTCCTAGTTTTCCAAAGTGGTCCTCAGGACCATATTAGAATTCCAGTTGCTTTCACATCTGCTGCCCCTTCTCCAAATCCTAGCCCTTCCGCCAGGTGTGTAGCGGTACCTCACTTGAGTTTTAGTTTGTGATTCCCAGGTGACTGATGATGCTGAATACCTTTGCATGGGCTCATAGCTGTGTGGGGGTCTCCCTTGGTGAAGGCCTTCAAGTCTTGCCCACTTTTTATCTATTGCTTTGTCTGTCTTTTTCTTATTGATTTGCGGAAGATTTTAAAAGATTCTAGATGTCTTTTTTCAGAAATATATATTGCAAATATTTTTTCTCACTTTTGGCTTCCTTTTCACTTTCTTTTTCTTTTTAAATATTTTATTTTTCCTTTTCTCCCCAAAGCCCCCCGGTACATAGTTGCGTATATTTTTTTCAGTTGTGGGTCCTCCCAGCTGTGGAATGCGGGATGCCGCCTCAACATGGCTTGATGAGCAGTGCCATGTCCGCACCCAGGATCCAAACGGGCAAAACCCCGGGCCACCGAAGCAGAGCGCACAAAGTTAACCACTCGGTCACGATTCCGGCCTCCTTTTTCACTTTCTTGATGACACCTTTTGATTAACAGATGTTCTTAATTTGAGTGTGGTTCAGTTTATTGATCTTTTTCTTTTGCTGGGTGCTTTTTATGTACTATTTAAGAAATTTTTGCTTATCCCATGGTCCTGAAGATAATTTCCTGTTACAGTGTGGAGGCTTTTTATTTTACCCGTCACATTTAGATCAATGCTCCATCTGGACTTGATGGTGTGAGGTAGGGGTGAGGCTCGTGTTCTCTATATGGCTGTCTAGTTGCTCAGCACCCTCCTCTCCCCATGGCACTGCAGCAGCTCCACTGTCATCAGTCACCTGTGGATGGGGGACTCTTCTGTCACTGGTCTGTCGGTCTCTCTCTTGTACTGGCGCTGCCCTGTTTTGCTGGCTGTGGCTTTCTGAGGAGTCTGGTCAGGCAGTACAAGTCCTGCAACATTACTCTTCTTCAGGATGGTCTTTCCCAGTGTTGGCCCTTTGCATTTCCAACTAAACTAGAATCAGCTCGTCGCTTCCCCCAGAGCAGCCTGTTGGCTTTCGATTGGGGTTGCACCGAACTACAGATCGCAGAATTGGCATCATCATTCAATTTACAACATTTTCTAATTTCCATTGCTGTTTTTTCTTTCTTTTATGGCTTTTATAGATTTTCAAACTTTTGGGGATTTCCTAGTAATCTCTGATTTCAAGCATAATCCTCCTGTGGCTGGAGAACACACACTGAAGAATTTCAGTCCTTGAACGTTGGTTGAGATGGGCTTTGTGGCCCAGCACATCGCCTACTCTGAGGATGTTCAGTGGGCTGTGCGGTCTGCAGTTGTTGAATGCAGTGTCCTATGTATGGTTAGGTCAAGTTTACTAACTGTGATTTTCAGGTTTAAATATTTTTACTGACTTTTTAATCTTTTCATTTATCATTATGAGAAAGGAATGATAATTTCCACTGTAATTGTAGATTTGTTCATCTTGTGTATCAAGTTTTGCTTTTTATTTTGAGGCTATGTTATTAGGAGCATACAGATTTAAGATTGTTATATCTTGTTAAACTGACCCTTTTTCTTGTGAAATGCCCCCTTTTAATCTTTGGAAATGCTTCTCTCCTTAAAGTCAGCCTTGTCTGATATAATGTAGCTAACCTAGCTTTGTTTTGGGTTTATATTTGCACAATATAGTTTTTTCCATCCTTTCTCTTTTGATCTCTCTATGCCTTTATATTTAAGATGTGTCTCAGCATAATAGCATATAGTTGGTTTTTGTTTTGTTTTTATCCAAGCTTTTAACAGGAGTATTTAAGATTATTTACAGTTTAATGTAATTGCTGATTTTGGGGGGATTAACGCTTCCATCTTACTCTTTGGTTTTTTTGTCCCATCTGTTCTTTTTTTTTCTTGCTGGCTTTTGTATACATCGAGCATTTTAAGTATTTCTTCTTTATTCCTTTATTAGCTGACATTGTATTTTTCTGTTCTTCTAGTGGTTATGCAAAGCAGTTTGATATGAATCCTTCACTTATTAGAGTTGACTGTAAATTAGTTTTTATTACCACTTCCCAGATAAGGCAAGTATCCTGTGATATTTTAACTCCATTTATCCTCCTCTGGCTTTTGGTGCTGTTGTTTTTGTGTGTTTTAATTTTACATATACTTTAATCCCTGCAAGACAGTATTATTTTTTATTCTTTTTAAAGATCGGCACCTGAGCTAACATCTGTTGCCAGTCTTCTTTTTCGTTCCTTTTCTTCTCTTCCTCCAAGCCCCCCAGTACATAGTTGTATATTCTAGGTGTAGGTCCCTCTGGTTGTGCTATGTGGGATGCTGCCTCAGCGTGGCCTTCTGAGTGGTGCTGTGTCCGCACCCAGGATCTGAACCGGTGAAACCCTGGGCCGCCGAAGTGGAGCATGTGAACTTAACCACTCAGCCGCGGGGTCAGCCCCAAGACATTATTCTTGTTTCAGATAGTCAATATTTATTTATACCGATCCTTGTGGCCTCTTGGTTTTCTGTCCCTTGGTCCCGTCTCCTGGCATGCTTGGTAGTTTGTGGACATTATGTTTGAGAAATTGGAGGGGTTCTGGGTGATGTTGTCTTCCATCCAGCCGACGGAAGGCAGGCAGAAGGCCTGTGTCCAGCTGAGGCGAACCTGTTTCTGGTCTGCTCTCACTCCTAGGGTATGGCCCTTCCCGGGTCTAACTAAGCACCATCACCCTCAGATTGCCTAGTGCCCTGCTTCGGTTTCATCTTCCTGGCATCTGCTCTCGTGGGACACTCTGCACAGCTGGCAGCTGGCACGTGCTTTGGGGAGAATTGCACACAGAACGTGGGTATTTTTCTCTGAGTTTCCTCTTCTCCAAGATCATAGCCCCTCAAGTCCTGGCTGCTGGGGAGCCCTCACTCTCAATTCCTGGTGCCCAGCCCTACGCATGTGTGCCAGCTCTGGGCTGCTGCTCTGTTATCCCTGTGCTCAGCACCACTGATCGGGAAGCCTGACCTAGAGGCACCTCAGTGCTTCTCTCTGTTCTCTGGGGTCTCGCCCCTCAAGTCTCAGCTGCCAAAGTGGTTCACCATTGTCTTCAGTGAGGTGATTTTAGTGAGTTTTAGGAACCCCTTAGAATATGAGGAAATTAACCCATTGCCTGCCGAATTGCAAATATTTTTCCCAGTTTGTCAAGTCCCAGTGTTTTAGTCCATCAGATTCTTTTTAGGAGGGAAAAAGTCATAGTTAGAAAGACCCTCCCACTCCAGTATTACTTAAAAAAAATTTTCCCTCAGTTCTTCTTGTACTTTCATGACTTCATTTTTTCATTTAAATCTTTGATCCACCTGTATTTTATTTGGATGAAAGAAACAGAGTTGGCATCCTAAGTTTTTTCCAAATGGTTCCCTGGTTGTCAGAACACTATTAATCCATCACTGATAGGAATGTTACTGCTTTCATATAGTAAATTCTTGTACATATTTAGGCCTAGTTTGGGTCTTATGTTTTAATTCACCAGCTGGCCTGTCTAGTCACGTGGCCTTCCACACTGTTTTAATTACCCGGTCTTGAGGTAGTGCCGCCTGCTCTGAAACACTTCAATGCTAATCCCTCTTCTTCACCTTTATTAATAACATTCTGGATACTCTTGCTTGTTTATTTTTAATATGAACGTATGAATC